AGATAAAGGTGATGTTGCTACTAACGGTAATTTCTAAAAAAGTAATTTTGCTAAAGGAGTATTCAAACTGCCCATATATTACAGGGGGCATACAAGTTGAGCATCTCCACTGACGTCACCTCTGATTCAGCTCCGTATCATCGCTACTGATTATTCTTCAATTCATTCAAATTACCGAATAATAACAGGTATCTATTTAAATTCCTCGTCAGTGAGGATTTAATTGCCGCATCAAAACATAACCGTGATTAACCGTCGAATAAAGTGCTTTCGTTTGTCTAGAGGCGATGATTGCAATTGACTAGATAATGATGGCGCAGTTATCGGCGGCGGTCTTTGATGTTGCTGCAATTAACAAGGGTAATTAACGGTGAAATAGACATCAAGTGAACAGGGTGATGTACTAACACCTACAGAAAAGCCTTAGCGGCGGGTGCTCTTTAGCTGTGTAAACATACCCGCTAAAATCTCATGGGGGAAGAAATCGGAGATGTTTTATTACCAGAATACTTACACGGGCTTGGGGGGAGGGGATTAGCTAACCTTGACTCCATTGGGGAATTACGCCCATCACACATCAAATGGGAAGGTGTGAAAATAAGAGAAGACCCCGAAAAACAAAGACTAAGATCTGGGATTATAATCAGAGGATGGAAATGAACTTATCTTCAAATAAAACACTTAATCCGTACCGCAAAAGGAAAATAGTTGAGCTTATCATTGCTTAGTTTAATCAGGTATTACCATCAATCGGGGTCTTTTAAGCTCCAATTGCTTTCTTTGTAATCGTGTTTGCTTATACGCAAGTGTTCCTGATTCAGCTTAAATGTAATTAACGTTGAAGATGTTTATTCAGCTTAAATAATGCTATTGTAATGAAGCATTGTTAATTCATTATGATGTTTACTTAATTTGCTGTCTGTCTAGATTTATGTGATATTGAATGATATTTCGTTGGAATGAAATGACTTTTAAAAACATTTTCGCTTTTAATAAACACTTTCTGTGTGTCATCTGTCACAAGACGCATCTGGTGCGTATTTACGATCGATGCACACTACTCATATATTGAAATAAACATATGCATTTCCTAATGAGGGAATTCACTTTATTTTTATGAAAAAAACCCCACTGAATTTGATATCACACTTTTTAGGCAATTCCTTCACAATAGCTTAGTCCCTCAAATACAGTTTGGTATTTCACATCACAATACTGTTCACTATCACACAACTGATGAATGGTATGAAAAGATAATTGAGCTATACCAGTTTAAAAAACTCATATTCACTTCCACCATTTCAAAAACAGAAATGAAGATTATGTTTTTTTAAGGAACAATCTGGAAACAATCACGAAGCTATCCTGTTGTGCTCAAGATATTAATAAGAGAAAATGTCAAGTAAATGATAATTTTCTAATGAATATCCCACCGTCCATGTTACTACCATATGAACGTGTGTAGGGAAGGGACACCTTGCTGAAACATCGATGAATATATTTATGTACGTGATGTAAAACACAAGCCCTATGCTGAGATAAAAGGGAGAAAGGCTACTTGGATGAGTATTTATGAATAATATATGACAAAGACTACACGATAGAGAGTCAAAGCCGTTTGAACTGCAGATACGAACGTTTTTAAAGATACGAAACGACTAAGAAATGAAATATCATGAAACAGATTTGCAATCTACTTTTCAATATTTCACACAAACCCAAATCCGACGTGATAGCTTATAAATTGAGCATCTGTTAAAAACACAATTAGCTTTTTGATACAACCGCGAGTCCTTTCCTTTTGTTCCGCTGAGAAAAATGTATGATTAACACGATAATATTGTTTTTTAAATTGGGAATAGTTTAAGCTATCTGACGGATAAGACACCCTATTTTTGAAATGATAGGTTCAGAAAAATTTATTTTACAATACTGTAGACCTTAGATTATAACGTACATGTAGTTTGATATATGATCATTAAGGTGAGGATTACCAACTGTGTGTATATCGTATATCATATTTCATCAACACAAGTCTCATTAGGATGAACTATTTCAATATATCCTCATTAAAGGTGTAAAATGATTTGCCAAACATTCTAACCTGTTCTTCATATATGATATATCTACATGTCCATACCTTAAAAAAGGTGATACCTCTTGAAATAAAAAGTCTCACGTTTTAGACATTTACAGATATTTTGTGAAATTACGATAAGATCGGACACCACCTGTGTCGAAAACTCTACACTGAAATAGACATGCTATGTACAACTGTACATATCAATACATGCCATAAAACGTGTTTTATTGTACTATTGAGACAATTTGAGCCTCGTAGAGGTTTCTGATGACAGCGGGAATAATACAGTGTCTTATCAGTGGTATGCCCTGGGCATCACATGAGATGGAACAACTCCTGTTTTCATATTGTGACGCGTCCTTATCTCTTGGGATTGTTTTCTTTTGAAACTTGCATGCACATCGGGCAAAACGCTTCCAGGCAATGCATCTGAGGGCATGGCTGAATGAAGGGAAACATGCCCTCAGATCTATTGACATTTATATCGTTGTGTTTGTTTTAGAAGAAAATGTCATAAAACGGACATATAGCACAGCACAAATGAACTTGTATTTCAGCTACACCGCTCTATTGTATGCAGTTTTTGATATACTCTAGTACCAAGAATTGTAAAATGCGTTAAATGTATTATTATTTCAAATGTATAGCGAAAAAGGAATTGTCTTTCCACACTTTTAATCTTGAAAAGTATTTAAGATATTATGAATATTCTTAGGAAGGGAGGCCACGGTTTACTTTAATTTATGTACATTCTTGGGTGAAAGCAGTTTCAATAGGTATGGGTGGCAACAAGGGTGGCAGGCATTTCTAAATATATGAAGCAAATGTATATGAAATATACTTGAAATAGAAGTCTGTTAAAAACACAAACTTATGTATAGAACATGTGATCTCCGTTGACCAATCAGTTTCAAACATGGCCACTTGTTCTTGGCTAGTTTAAACATATTTATTTAATGAAAAAACCCAACAAGTTTCATAAACTGGATTGGTCAACAAGCTCAAAAGCACTTATATGAAGACCGCTCCAATATACATAGATATATGAAACATTATCATGACAAGGAAAACGGACATCTAATGAAAATAGATGTTATGACATGTAGTCTTAAGGTTAAGATCATGATTGTTGAATACATTTATGACATTTGCAGTGGCAATCGTGATCACTAGTAGTATAGTTTTGAGACTTATAGGTTGTGATATATGATTTGCTCTTGACTGCCTTTCTCTACCCATTGACCCATTGACTAATACCAATATCATTAACTTGTGAGATGGACAACTACCATGAACAATAACTCCAAATATGTGTGCTACCATGAGATGCTCAACCGAAAACTGGGGCTTAATATAAACAAGTGATTTATTCTTATCAAAACGATATTGAGTAATAGGCTGATCTGCACTTCGGATGGCAGTTAGCTCTACCAAAATATTATTTTGCCTCTGTTTATAAACAATACTAACGACTGGGGGCACCCGCGGGAAATGCGGGGGAAAATATCCCCTCCATACTGCTCCCCTCAATTATCCCCCCAAAGCGTTCCTCCCTTCCCCCACAATTCTACACCACAGACAGTCTTGACGGTTCACTCAGGCTTTTTTGCCAGTAGGATTCGCAATATTAAATTACTAAGAAAAATATACGAAAACTGTTCTGGTATATTTATCCGGGATACATTCTCGCCAGGCATAATTTCTCTAAGTTCTCCGTTGTCGCTGCACTTGCTGAAGCTGGCGTGTTTAGACTGTTATCCTACCCCCGTTCGTCCCTCGACCCCCTCCTGTCCTCCCGCGCCCGTCCCCCGACACGCTGACTCCACGCAGTTAACAGTCGAGTTTCCCCCTTAATTAATATCGTGATATTGTTATTACTGCAGATAGGCCGTCGTAGGGCCTGGCTTTGGCTTGGTTTACATAGCGTTTCCTTCGTTCCAACCCCGGGCACAGTCTCGTCGGGATCAAAACGACTGAAGGGACGATCCAGCCTCGGAGACCTAACGAAGAAACTATAGTATTCAACAATCTCAGTTCGCTTGACTCATGTGTGTGCTGTGTTTTCATGAGATGTGTAAACGACTTAGAAAGCGTGAACAAATAGTCGCCATGATAGTAATCAACGTTTACACAGACCATCTCATTAAATGGCACGTGGCCCAGCGTTGCCGTTTAATCTCTACCAAGTGTGATGGGAAATACGCGCACCAGTTCTGTAATCTCACTCGTCACATTTTGGTAAGCAGGTTTTATGCTCGTATACTCTGGTTATAAATCGAGAAATAACAGTCAAAAACCACCAACCCGAGAAGTCTTCCCAATAGAGCAGCCTTGTTTTGCCTTCTTTGTGTGGAATGTGTGTATTTAAATGATCTTTCAATGATACACTTATAATAGTACCTCTTTATATCTTAAGTCAAATACGAAGAATAACAGTGTCGGTGTAAAATAAACAATGTTTAGCCACCCGAAAAGCAATGGGCTCGTTGAGGTATTTTCTTCCACGAAGGCCCTCTATTGAGTTGACCCTTGAGCATATGACAATAGCAAGATCGCGCTTGGTTCACTATGAAGAAAAGGGGCTGCTATATCAACCGTAACGCCGGGAGAAGATGACGGAGGCGGAGCTTAGACGATCTGTCGACAAATCCTTGTAGGCGGGGCCTTAAAACACCGTTCGTCCAGGCTTAGAAATACCGTCAGCCAATCAAATCCCAGCTGTCGCATCGAAGCTCCGCCCCTAATTGTCGGGGCGCTCTCTATTACCCTTTGCAAATTGTTTTGATTGACAGTTTGAATCATCCAGCCGGCAATTGTAAACCAATGAGAGCGGAGATATGAAGGGCTCTGGCGCTATTATGTCAGTATCTACAATGTAATACGCCCTATGATTGGTCATTAATACATTCGTCTCGCCATGACTGTCTGTATCTTGTAGCGGGCTGGCGCCGTAGATCGTGGAATGAAACACAGCCGAGCCTAACACTACCTTCAGTCGGTCTTTGGACTTACTACCACAGGGACCGCTAGTTGTTGACAGTGAACGGAACTAGCTTGTTCAAACAACTTGTTGTGTTATTCCCCTATCGTCTTTAATCAGTGAAGTGTGAATTGCAGTCGGATATTTCCACCTACAAAAGGTTTGTTTTCTTCGCAAATTTATGCACGTGGCCCAACCTGCTGCCCGTGTCACCTGCTATATTGCAATGATAGCTTATCTAAACAGATTTATCAACGGCTAATCATGATCAGAGGTTGACTTGCTTAACTGAACCCACAATCGCCGATATGGTAATATGCTAATGTCCGCGTGACATGCTTGGGTGATAATGTTGTATTTTGTGACCTTCTTCACCACTTGGCAACATATCTCCCCCAATTGGACTCTGTGTTTCATCTAATGCATTTTGTCACTGCAGGTCAACTTGACAGAAACTCAGGCACTTAAGCCTGATTTCAACTTGTCCCCCGCGATTCTCGACAATACCACAATGGAAGATCAGCAGCACCCCAGCGCCTGGCTTCGTCCCGACACCCACAGGAATACGTTCGAGGCTGCAGCCACCCCCGGTATCCTACCCCCAGAAGATATCAGTGAGATGTTGTTTTCTTCGTTTGATGGAAACTCAGGGCATATGAACCCCGGGTATTACCCCGGCAGCGGCCGTCCTAGCATGGGATATCGTCAACATGGTGAGTCGCTCTATAATGACATTATCATATTCATTTTTTTATTTATGCGTGTTTGTCTTTTGTTGACATGCATGGATCTGTTTGTTTGCACTCTGAAAACAACCAGTTTAATTTTGATGAAATTCATCAAACATTATCGATTCGTTTAAGGGAGGATCCTGTTATTAACTTATGTGTAGTGATTTGATTTCGTTGTCCGTGCTCTGTGTATTCCGCCTGTCCCGTTTCCTTTAAATTACGAGAGGGCAAACTTTTGTTTCATTGGTTAATTCTAATCCGGTTACAGGGGAATTAGCAAGGATGTTTAGACTCACTCTGGACTTTGCCTGTATCATCAACAAGCACCACATTTGTGGTATTTATGTAGTTATGTCGGTCGGAAATGCGCTTCACCACAGCCGGGTTTGCAGGTTTTCCAATAACATAAGTATTTTGGCTTGACAAATGACAATGTCAACAACTTCTCCAGAATGTCACAAACACCCACCTCTAACCCTCATCGCACAGATGCATCCGCCCTCGAATTAAAAGGAAATGTGTACTTTTCTCCGGCTTCTCGCCGTTTCAGTCTTCCACATTCCCACTCCGTTTTAAGGCTGAACCCATGGCCAGTCGGTTGTTTGACGCCACAAGCGCCTAAGGATCGCGGTTTAATTTCAGTCGTTCTGTAGAGACATATCCAATTTTCCAGATCAATTTAGAGTGGTCTTGTTAGTCTAGACTAGGCCATAAACAGTAATCTGCTTCTCATATACCATATCTCCGTTTTCTGCAAATATACCTAAGCTGTAAACATACCCACCATGGGCCGTCACGTGAACTGAGCTATTTCGTCCGACACACGAAGTATTTGAAATAATTCCTCCTGCACCCCATTGCCGTTTGTTAACGAACGATGATGTTGATGTTTAAAGTTGAGAAAAGTTGTAAACCATATGGAGTAAACAGCTCACGTCACTTAACATTGCCAACAGCAAACTGTGCGGGTATTGTCTGATTGAAAAACTCCGGAAAAGCGTTTCCATACCAATTTTCTGGTCATGTTTTCACGTTTTTTAAAAATATGTTTTAAAATGGCAAATCTAAGCTAAACAACTCGCATCTTCGGCTCTCGAAAGGATAGTTAAGTCATAAAGTCACAGTGAGTTTATTTAACAATTAGCTCATTCATAATATATTCCTCAGTTTAGTAAATAATCGCCGTTGAAATGTCAAACAATATTGCCATGAAAATATAGAAATAATCTTTATACAATATGTATGCGAAAGCCAGCGCACCGTAACAGAATAAATGAGCTTTTCATATAAAACCTCCATAAATAAATGAAATCGGCCCGGACCTCGGATCAAGTTTCTTATCCAAGCTTCAAGCTATGATAATGTACTTGGTATTTTTCCCCATCGGTTAAACCGAACGCACAACCGATTCCTACAGCAAGAGTAATCAAATATCATAGCAATAAGCATGTATCATCTAATCGAATTAACCACTACTTTCGTCCTTGCTTCTTACAAGTCCTTATTTTAGAAAAAAACCAGCTTTATCTAATTTATTCTATTAAAACCATCCCGGATGATGAGGGTCCCGCGCCCATGGGGGGTAGAGACAGAAACTCGGTCCGTTCCCCTTAAAGTCTCTCCCGCTAGTCTCATTAACACATGATTAATTTGCTGTGAAAACAATTTGCTCTTGATTTCGGAAACATTTTTCTTCCCTGTTAACGACCAATGTTTAGCGAGCGTCCCTTTCTTAACAAAGTTAATCTCATTTTCCTCTCCGGCTTGGCTTCTATGAGTAGAAAGTGTTCGCAATTCACGTGATTTAGAAAGCAGTGACTATAATAAACATGACATGAACGTAGAAACGTTTATTTCGGACAAATAAAAAGAACAGTCCGCGCAACTTTTATATTAGGAACCAATTTAATTCAGTTCATGATTGTAATGCAATCTCCATTTTCAGCGTATATCAGAGCAATATGTTTTATTGTAATATCAAGTCTCCATTTTCATCCACTGCGAATCTATTCCCCATTACAAAGATAATGTATTTGTTGGGTTTTGTGAAATTCATTCTTTCCATAAATTGCAAATTCTTCCTCGCGAGTGAGTTTTGCGTTTCCATTCTGCAATAGTTTCTATTACAATGTCGCATGAAATTGCTAAAGCACCCAAACAATTCTCAGTTCGGAAAATAATCCCGTGCAGTGTAATTCGAGTTTTAATGTCTCCCCCACAATCCACAAAACAATTTTCCAGATGCTGTTAGTCGCTGGCATTAGACATTGTTCTCATGTCGGTTGAGTTGTGTTGTGTAAGCAACAACTATCAACATTACATGCTAAACAGGATCACTCTAACCTTTTAAACGTTATTTTCAATGATAAAATAATTTGATTACATTTTTCTATATTGTTTTGCAGTGTCAAGTGGCAGTCAGCTTCACCGGACCCACTTCCACACCCACCCCTTACCCTGGATCACAGAGCCCAAGTCCATGGTGCCCCACACCGGGGGGTGGAGTATATATAGCAAGTCCCTCACACACCCCTCCCCTACAGCCCCGCTCTCTGTTCACCCTGCAACATCCATCGCCACATCAAGCTCGTTTAATTTCCCTCCCACTCCCCCGAAAGACAGTACCCCCGAGAATAACACATGCACAAGTGAATATACCCCTGACAACAAACCAAAAAACGACGGGTCAGAAAATGGACTGTCCGGTTTGGCAAGTTTCCCAGCTCACAGCAGCGTCACCTGCAGCACTGCCCACCCCGTTCCCACCTACCCCCACTACATGCCCACCGACTACGCCAACGCACACATCGGCTTCCACCCTACGGCATCCGTGTTCAAAGCCACACCCTCCCTCTCCTCTGGTCACGGGAGAACAAGGACCAAGTCTCGATCAAGCACAGGTAAGTTGTTTTTTTAAAATAAAATTTATTAATATTAACAAATTTTAGATAAAATCCCTCTTCCCAAATCATATTCATGTACATCAAAATCAAAATTGCACCACAATCTACAGTTTTCTTTCGTAAATCGAAAGAAAAACATTTACTTATTCAAAGTGAGAATCCTTTGTAACTCTAATACACTTTTATAAAAATACATACTTTTATTGGGCATTTGTTTTGTTGCCTGGCAACCTTTTCCAGATTTTTCTGTAGACTCCGATCTCTCTCATTCCCACCCTCTTGTTTTTGGCGGGCTTTATCAACCGGGCGCTTAGCGTCTTTATTCGAAATATAATATGATTCTCCAGGCCGTCGTTATCCAATCTGCCTGTTTACATTTAACATTTGTGTGTTCAAACGTCACCCATGATGTATTCATCACCCCCGTTGGTGTATACATGTGTAAATAAAGTGTAAATGTTTTTTCTTTCATAAACAACCCACCAGTGGAACACATGACGATAGTTTTTTTTATTCTGTCCATTTAAAAAATATTTTATATAAAGAAAATGAGCAAGAACGGTGCATTTTTCATATGTTGATGGCCAAGATATGAGCACTTTAGATAAAATACATTTTCAAAAAACATCACCACAAACCATAAATTTGCGCCTTTGTCTAGAAAGAGAATTTTATATTCATTGTTTACTACGGGCACAATGCTTTTGTTAGAGAGTGAAAAGAAAGCTTGTTGTTTCTAAAATAACGTGACGAAGGCCATTCCCTGTACAGTTAGTGCTATTCACTGATGGGTTTCCCAGCGTTTCTATGAGAAACTGTGTCTTGGTAAAATGTCCCAGTTGTACGGCATTGCTGTGTTTCCGTCACGGTCAATCACAAAACCTATATCCAGCTTCAAATAAAATGAAAATTAACCGAAGAGAATACAGCATAGGATAGTCATTTCATGGTTCTTTGAAATCAATGACGGTTAAAATATAAAATTCCTTTGAAGGATAACATCAAAATCTGACGTGAACGAATGACATAAGACGAGCATTGATTTTAACGTTTGCATGTATATTTCCCAAGCTGTAGATTTGACACTGAATTATGACCTTTTATGACCATTTTGCAGTATATCTGTTTTGGTATGTACATATATAAACGAGAAAAGTTACATCTTGAACAAGCTTTGGAGCACTATAGACATTTCACTGATCGGCCTTAGAGATGCTATTATCACGGAAATATTTCTACATGTCTACTGTTTTCATGTTGGTAGTGTTTATGCAGGAGATACTTAGATTTACGCATCCCTTCCCTTCCAGTATCCCCACCCCCCCAAGTACTTGAGACAAGGGAGAAGCACTTCTCCGTGTTAGCCTCGTTTATATGATTGCCTGTACTACAAGGATGACGGGTCGGAATCCGGACGGAAGAGACCTACGTAGAAGTAGTAGCTGCAGTCGTCTCTACTCGCCATCCAACGTCCGTCAGCCATTATGGTCACATATGACACGATTTATATTATATTTATAACGGGTTCATTTACTTGTGTGAAATCGCGATGCGTATCTGTGATTTGGATGCACGTTTAACCTATGATGTAAATTATGGCACGGGTTTCACGTGTAATGTGACACTGCTGCAAATGGTCATTTAGAAGGCACAGGAGCTGTGGTGTTCAGTCGAGTCTTCGTGTCTCGACAGAAACAATATATGCAATTAGTAAACACTCGGTATATCCGCTTTAGCCGGAAATCGAGCTGCTTTTGTCTTGAGCGTTTGACATGAAGTCCGGGGAAGGGGGTGAGGGGTCAGGCTAACTGCAGGGATCGTCCAGGGGGTGTAGCATTTCATGCCCGTGTCACGGGTCTACTGGGCCTGATGCGTTAAGATGCTGAGTTAATCAGCTCGTGAGTGTCCGACCAGACGCTGTTCAGTCTGACACGACCAACTGGACATCTGACCACTGATGGTAAATCCCCTAAATGTGCCATTTCACCTGCTTGTTCGGTACCTACCCAGAAGGTACTTACGTTGGGGGTGGGGAAATGGCGTGCCACGGTCAGTAACAGCTTGGTTACAGATGGAACGATGCGTTGCAGCCATCAGTGACAAAATAACCCTCACATTATAGTTATATGTCGCCCATATTGGCTAGAACCCATCACATGTGTTAATGGCGTTTGATATGCAAGGCAGGGGCTCTCCGCTGGCTCGTGGCGTATCTTGACGTCAAATATAATTGCATTCGCCCGGGGCAGAATAATATGTTATCTTAGAGTTATGCAAGTGGGTTCGCATATAGGGCAGTGACAATATTTACGGAGTTTGATCACCAAAAATCCAGTCCCACCTGGTAAGCCTACAGTGTCGATCGCGTAATGAGAGTGACAGTTTGTGTATATTTCAAGCAGAAACGAAAACACATGTTATGTATCATTATAAGGAATTTTGTAAACAATCACACAAATAGCTTAATCCTACTCACAACACCGCGCCGTATACAGCCTACAGACTCTCATTTCAATGTTTTTTATCTGCTTGAATTTTCATGCGCTTTTAACGATCGACGACTTCAAAATGTGCCTCTTTTTACAAGTGGGCCCTTATTTCACATGAATTGGCATTATATAAGAGTTAGTGTGACACAAAGCACATTGCACTGACTGTCGTATTTATCAACAAGTAGCGAGGGATCTGCTAGCGTTTGATAAAGTCAAATATGAATCGAATTACCAAACGCTAGAAGCTTATGAGTGTTGGGCACTTTACTCAAGTCTAGCGTTGAGGAGGATGAGAGTCCAGTCTACTAAACAAGCCGACAGACGGGCACTAGTTTCACGTCAAGCATGTTATGGCGTCCCGAGACATTTCTTAATTAGCCCTTACATCTCGTATATGCCCCCCTCTCCAAAATAAGAAACGGGGACCCCTCGCCCGTTTTTCAAAAATGATTGCTGGCCATGATGTAGACAGGGCCAAGTTAGAGCGGTTCTGTGTTTCTAACATCTTTCAGGAATTGCGCTAACAGCCCCAGCAATTACATCATTAGAGGAGTTGTATGTAAACTGTTAAACTCAGTGCTACAGCGGCTGAGCTGACAAATGACAGTGGCCACCTCTTATGCTGACTGCTGTCTAATTACTTGTGATGAAACATACACGCACTTGTTTATGTTGGTGTTAACTACCACCCCCCTACTTTCCACCACCCCAGCCTTCTCCGCCCCCTCCCACGGCGCCATCTCCCCCGCCCATTCGCAGCGGGTTAGGATTGCTAAGCAGTTCCATTTAAAATGACCCGATATATTCCAGTAGTTAAACACGTATTCAGGTACAATGAAGCATAAGAATCTTTTCAGAAACAATCTGGCATGTTTAATCGTTTATTCTGGTGTGTTAGCGTGAAATATCTGATGATATTATTTTATTTCAGAGGGCAGAGAGTGCGTTAACTGCGGAGCAACCTCTACACCGTTGTGGCGTCGAGACGGCACTGGTCATTACTTATGTAATGCCTGTGGACTCTACCACAAAATGAACGGTTCCAACCGACCCCTCATTAAACCAAAACGAAGATTGGTAAGTTAACAAGCAACTACAAGTTTTAATATTGTACAAAAGTTGTCAATGTTTCCCAATATTAATGCAAACCATGAAAAGATCGATATATCTGAACGGTTTTCAGACACCCAGGCCTTGATATTCAATCACAGAACACCATGGGAATAGGCGGTGGTATCCCCCAGTCTGACGTGCTCGAACCACGTTAAACAGTCTCAACGAATACTTCACTACGGTCTCACTGAGCCTTAATTTAAAATCACATGCAAAATACATATTCCGTTGGGCTACAATTCACACCCCAGTTTCAATTCATGCCCACTGTTCCAGTATTGTTTCACATGGAAAGTGCGTATAACTGCACACGGAGTTGAGAGCCGTCGCCTGGCTCCGTACGGCTTTGAAGTTGGGGACTTGCAACCTGCGTGTGAGTCTAGAGCTCGCCAGCGCCATACAATATTTAGTAGGCTCTCGCTGCCCCTAGAAAAAGCGACAGCTTTTCTAGTTTGGTGACTGAATAATAGGGACTGTAATTATCTAGATTGCTACCTCACTCCATATCATGAAGAGACGAGTTACTAACCTTGTCTTCAAAGCATAGAACAACGATTGAATTGCAGCGTTTCCAACACATTTATAAATAATGTAACTACTAAAAGGGAATTAAATGTTGCTTTGAAGATATTGGTTTTTAAAGGGACATTTCTAAATATAAATTCCAAATTTGGTTAAATAAGTTAAAATTCAGTACGTTCCGGGGAACAAATAACGAAACAGAGAAGTCTGTTTTTCCTAATTCTATTATGTTAATCGAGCTTGTAGAGAAATAAAATCTCTCTCTCACTAGCTGTGGTATGCATCTTAAATTACTAACAAAATAACCCATCCATCAAAGCATCCGGGCACTACACCGCTTCAATTATGTCAGGGAAGCTTAGCAAATTTCCTGAAAAAAATTATTCGTATAGCTTCGTTGAGGTTAGGAGGACGATTCTTGTCAAAATACTGATAAAACACGCTCTTAGTTCCGGGGCGTAGGATGGGCGTGGATAGCAATGCCATGGCAGTTAAAACGGAGATTTTTTGTAGAAAATAGAAACACGATCATCTGAAACATTTACCTCTTTATGAATTCAAACATAAACGTTTGGATACGTTTTAGTTTAAAAACTATTATTTTGTAATTCGGGAGTTTTTTTTCAAAACTTTTTGAAACAATTTCACCGAGAAGATAGCCTTCTTACAATGAATCCTAATTCCAACAAACTCTTTTAGGAACACATTTATTCTGTCGTTGTTCACTTTATCGATTGCATTTATTTCGTTTAAAAACTGATTTTGCTTATCGAGGTTGTCAAATGATTCAAATTGCACAGTTCTGATGTTGGAGATTTCAGGGGAGGTCCAGTTGATGAGGACGATGATTTACCAAATTGATGATGGTGTGCTGTTATACTTAGTGCAAGTTTGAGATTTGAACGAGATTGTCGTTACCCATATGTGACTTTTACCATAGATATAGCTAACTTCCCATAGCTAGCCTGTGAATCGTTGTAACTCCCGTTCGACTCAGCCTGATAAGACATGCGTATTTCGCCGTTATCTTTCAACGCTTCAATCGGGCATTACTAAGCGTGCGTATTACTGCAAGAAGCCACTATTTCGTGACAAACGTTGTCAATCAGTTCTCCATCTGATCAGATAGAACATCCTAGCCAAACCAACGATCGCCTGGCTCAGTCATTGTTTCAGCTAGTACCGCTTGTTGAGCAACGCTCGCGTGCCAACCCCGTAAAGAAAGATCTTCTGAAGAAGGCTCGCCTGCCTATCTCGATTTGAACAAGTTTGGGGAACATATCGAATCTCCTGAAAAATATATAATATCTCTTAAATATGTAATAAGTGGCGCAATTACACGAATCCGCTGCCGATCTCAAATATTCGTATCGATGATCGAAGGCTGTTTTCGCCATTGGGACGTATATCAATGCGATCTCGTAGTTTCAAGTCCTCTCGCGCGGTTTTTGATCTTATCATGCCGTTTTGTGGATAACACGGATTTATAAATCGTCCATGAACCTGCAAAAATACACCACCGGCAGTGGCGGCTAGGGTTTTGTGCTTTCATGTCAGTTCGTTGCGAAATACCGCTCGCTAGGTTCAGTCCGCTGACTTAACGATAAAGGCGTCTTTCACTGCCGCCCGTATGGTCGATCTTCAAGCTTTTAGTATTACTTATTGGAAATCGGACCGCGATATCGAGAAGGGATTAAAAGTCACTCGAATCAGGATCTCAGCAGGTGAAAATGCAATTAAATAGCAAAATAAACAGAGGCTACACTCAGTCTCTCAAAACCCTTAGGTACCCCGCCGTAGACAGATGGTCTGTCGGGTAGCGGAGCTCTCCCACCCAAGCTATCCCCCCTGCCTCTCGAACGCTGATTGACTGGGCGGAGTCACCCCTTGATAAAAGCAAAAGAGGTGAAAACTCGGTATTTGACAAAGTATGGATTTAAAAATCGGAGAACGCTGTTAGCCAGGGAGCTATTGTCGAAGTCATGTTTGGTGAGCATTTAGGGAGACGGAGCCTTCTTTCGATGAACTACATAAAAGTATGAAGACTTTGTTTGCAGTGGTTGTGATGAATACCAAGTTGTGTAAACAAGGTCAAAACTGGCTTTAAGACATGGCGCGGCGGACGAAGATTTTTTTCATTTGACACCGGATTGTGATTGGAAATTGAAAAGCCCCCGAGAGTGGTTTCAGTTTTGGGGGACCACACTCGTCTAAGTATCCAGACACAGGTACTAGAGATTTATGTAAACAAAGCCTAATATCTTCTGTGACGTGACAAAACCATATATCTTCACGCTAACGTCCAAAGCAGTTTGAACAAGAAAAGGGAACTGGAGACTTATTCTGTTAAACGCTGGAACTAACCCAAACCTTTAACAGCCGAACTTAAAATATATATAATCATCCCAGTTTTACAAAAAACGTCTGTGCATTTTCATATTTTCAGAAGTGACAGTTTATAACATTTGGGGTGATGGAAATAGTTGTTTCAAAATGACGTGAATCGGGGCTTTAGTTGGGAGACAATATGATATCTGGAGCCATTTTATTAGAAATTACTGTACTTTGGTGTAAGACTTGTATGATCCCACAGCTGATTTTAAAACCACATGTTTAAAAACGCGGCGTTCTTTTAATCCAGGCTTGTATTAGAGACAGAGTCGAGAGCTTGCCATTGACTCCCCTTGAAACTGTCGGTAGGGAGGTATGTCAGTATTCACGCACTTACCCTCTCCGTAATTTGTATTCATAACGAAAACCGACATGCGTAGAAGGTAATTTGAAACCTCGGTGCCCTTACGTTCAACCTCCAACCACTTTGCGAGAGATGCTTCCATAGTGTGCTGAAATTGTCTGCATAATCAGACAGTATATCGGCGTTTATTTGCCATTCCCTCAATGAAGTTTTATAAAACCTTTATTAAGGTGTTCTAACTTTGTTTAAGCGTTAAATACAGCCGTTATGAACGAACTGTTTATTAATACATATTTTAAAATTATTTGAACAATTCAAAAATATTTTTAGTAATACTTAGCTTAGCAAATAAAAAAAACCATAAAACGAAATATCGGATTATGCATAATCGTAAACGTGGTTGAATGCGCCAGTATGTAAATATCGCATAGGTAAATATTGCCATGTTTATTTTATTGTTAAAGGCACTCGTCGCTGTCAACTGTAGTTTTCCCAGACATACGGTTAGGTATCGATTGCCTGGTTAATCGCGTATCCCCGTAGCCCCTCCCCCTGTCTGTGTCATTGTCTACAATTATCGATCCTTAAACGGTGACGCCAGGCCAGGAAACGCAAGCAGAGCAGGAGCAATTAAGAAAAATGAAATTCAAGCATCGTTTGGTTAAGTTGTGCAAGGTATCCCAGTCGGACTGAACAACTACGGAACTATGGGTCGTCGTGGTCGCGGAGGTCGATATTTTCGCTGTCTGTTCAGCCAAATGGGGCTAACATTGATTATGCAGAATCATTACTGGGTAACCGTGAAAATAAACACTGGTTACTTTTCTATATGTAACCGGATTGATCGACAGGTTGTGTATTCCATTTCATCGTGTGTCACATAAATTTGTGGGTCTTTCTCATAAACAACATCATCAACAACATCACCATCACCACCACCATCATCAACATTATTATCATCATCATCATCATCATCGTCTTCTTCTTCATCATCACCGTCGTTGTTGTCGTAAATGCAAATGGCTAGGGGAGAGATGGCTTTGAGACTCTTTACACAGACATAGGTGTTGAAACCCTGTCGTCATTTTCCCTTGCGGATGTACAACACAACAGGTTGTGCAGCAACATCTCCATCACGACATTCGCACAGTTGTCAGTGCCGCGTGTGGCAGCTACTCCAGCTGAGGTTCGCACCATTTCGAAACGACCGACGACAGCGGGCGTCCGGATGACATTCGCTGGTCACACTTCACTCATTTTGTCCATTTTAATTTTCTCGTTTTCACATGAAGACACTTCCGTTTGTCGCGGCGACACCGGGGATCCAGATTTATACCGACATATGTTGCCAGCGCTTGTTGGCTTCACACAACGACCGACAGCCGGCTAACACCGAATACAGGGCTTTTGGAACATTAACGTCAACGATGAAGTTGCATCTCTGCGATGAAGTTACTGACGGTTCAAATCTGCTGCAAACACACGAACAGATATTAAAGTGGAGATTTCTCCTTTAAAAACATACTACATGACATCATTGAATTTCATTACAAATATGATGATAGCTTGCTATCCAAACGGAGACCACAGCACCGTATTGCACGCGTGTTTTGTGTTGGTTAAAGGTCTTTGAGAGGTTATTGGGGGGACTGTTTTTCTTAATTCCTGGGCCAAGTAAATGTCTACCCCGACTGACCTTTCCGGGGTATCAACCCCCCTCCCTCAATTTCAGAGGATATAAATCAAATATGGTCTGGGTTTTGAGCCCACTGACGAGGGTTGAGGGTGTCGCGTTACCCTAAACACGGCGCACGAGCCAGGCTAGACGTATCCGCGACAGCTCCATTGGTTAGGAAGAGATTCAAACAAAGGCCTAAGTCCAAAACCAGCGACAGCGTAGAAGATACTGGTTACCCGAGCACGTAATTGCTGTAGCCGAAGTAACCTTTATTGTTAGGGATAGGTTCCCGGCCAAAATACAACCTTAAGTAGCAATATAGGAAGTCATCACGTCTAAGTGTAGCGTGTGAACGCTGGCGTGAGTAACGAAGCCAACGCACGAATTGTCCTCTTCGCTCATTCAAATTCCCGGTTAATTTATGTCCTGTCGACCGCCAAGTTGAAATTTAAGGAAGGGGATATTGAAGAGCTGATAAATCGATGAAATAAACCTTACAACAATTTAAAGTTTCTTTAATTCTCTCTGTTTTACAGTCGGCTGCACGGCGAGCAGGGACCAGTTGCGCTAACTGCGGAACGACAACCACGACGTTGTGGCGACGTAACCCCAACGGAGACCCCGTCTGTAACGCCTGTGGTCTCTATTACAAACTACACAATGTAAGTACTGCTTTTTACTATTCCTAATCGTAATTTGTTTTCTAAGCACTTCTCCACTGCACTTCGTGATTAAACATACAATGGCAGTAGCTTCCATAGTTTTTTCTATATTTGTTTTTTTAATATTCATTTTCAGTTTTGAAAACATATGTATAATCAGGTCACTACAGCTATGTTATTAAACTATAAGCATCGTGTTGAAAATACTAGGCAATATCATTACATCACGTCAAGCGTCTCAACACGCACCCAAGTGACTATAGGTTAGGTTGTTATTGCATTACAGTAGGACGATATGGTTACGTTGAAAGGCCACGTTGAATAGTAAAATATAGGATAGGAAAAATTGAAAATTCAACACTTACAAGAAAGCGAATCTACTCGAACAAATTGCCTGTATCCGTAAATTTTGACTCGGGTAAAAGCTATTCATTTCCTTCAAGCAACCGCGAAGCACTTTTATCATTTTTACATTTCAAATGGAAATTGCTGAGACTTGATCGAGGCACTGATCCGTGGGAGGGGTGAGTGAAATATTGACATCAGTGCCTGGTGCGTTGACAGGTTCTAAAAGCATTGCGACGCCAGGTTCATCCTCTTGTACTTGAGATGCGCACCCCTAACAGTGGCTACTGTGGGCTCCCAATGGCCATAGATGTTACGTCTGTAATTTGGCCATTTGGTGGTAGTCTTGTTAGTTTGTTAAGTGTATGGCATTTCCAACTAAGTGGAGCTTGGTTAGGAAGTCCCATTTATGACGCATCGTGGAAAGATACCTTCATTAACATTGCCTTGTCAATACAAGGTTGGGGTATTGTCTGGTTCCCTGACTTAATGACGCAGTTTCATTTGCGCTGACTTTGAATATTTTTACGTAATGGCCAACATTTGCGTAATATCAGCATTGAGTAATCCTTGTGTGACAGGGGTTAGATAGAACAGCAATTTATTGCCGGACACATACGTTACTTAGTTTCTGAAAGCTTAAGGAAAAATCGGGTTTTTAACATCTGAACTTTGAATCACCAATAGTATGAATGTCAGCATAGATATTTGAATAAAAACCGATTCTGAATTTTTATTTCTAAAACCATAGACAAGTTACGATGGAAAAATACTGTAATATAGTTAATATTTTCAATTATTAAGTTTCTATGACACTGTGATATTAGTTTAAATGGTAGTTCTGTGTTTTGTAGTTTCCTATAAAAACTTTTTAGTTGTAGGAATAGGTAGAACAATAACGGTCCATGGAGGGATTTGCTTCGGCTTAATGAAGCAAGTTTTTCCTGGAGTTTTGTTAGAAGTTTAGCATAGGGGATATGGACATTTATCGGGAAAACACCGCAGATTATAATCACCCTATGAAACTGATATCACACACATTAACGTGTTCTGTTATGAAAAATTAAGTTTTCATCGATTTTGACAATCCTTATCAAATTCCGATAACGAAACATGATCTCTTTTTATGTATAGACGATGCTAAAGAGCGAGATTACGCCCAACATACCTTGGCGATACTGAAAAACATTAAGCCTTATAGCGGAATTATGAGCAGAATTTTATTGTAAATTATATGGAAATTAAGCTCTCTGATAAGAGCTTCACTTATGTATTGATCTGCGGTGAAAGTAAGTTACTCTTGAATTGACTTTTTCGGGTTAGTTTTCATGCATTTTCGGCAATCTTACCGCTTTACGTGTCTGAGCTGGGTATTATCTTGGCGTGTTAAAGCGGGTTTTGCAGACATCCCAGAGTAGAAAATATTAAAACTATTTAAAATGATCGTTTGTACTTGTAGAAATGCACAGTTTGATATTTATCAAATATTTACTTCGGCGTATTTTTGTAACTTTGATAAACAGTACTGGAGGTAACCTTATATCTTATGACTTGTTTCTGCAAGTGATCAAAATGAATTGTTTTTATTCATGTTTTGGGGAATCGTTTGTGAAGACAAAAATGATAATTCTATTGACTCTGTTGGCATTCTGCCGGCGGTTTCATGATTCTATTACCATAATCCATTCTCTCTGATGTCTCAATGTAGAACAGTTTAAAAATAGGCAATTGTATTGCAGATGGCTTTAGACACTTAAGCGATGCATATCAACAACAACATCTAGTCTATATCAACAACCAAATCTAGTCTGTATCAACAATACAATCTAACCTCGCCGAGGAATCCACCAGGTGTTACTGTCAAGTTTGCAGTCTGTTAGAAGTTCTGTATGTGATTGTGTGAATATATAAATTCTATATTCCAATTACCATTATTCAATATTCACTATAGACTCAAATTGACTGAACTAGGCATGGGATCAAGCAATGAAGGTAATTCAGTTCACAAGCCTTTTAAAAAATGGATAAACGAAAAAATATATTACAGATGGGTTAAAACAACTCTTATTTCACAAAACCTCTTTTTGCAGAAAAGATGAATTTGGCGGGTTTATAAAAAGGGGAATATTATAATTATGTCAAATGTAAAGCGTCCCGAGACAAGACATCTATTCCGTTTTGTACTTAGAGTCCCTCTTCTCCACCTGTTGGTAACATGTCAGTATTCCAGCCGTGTGCATAGACCGTATCCCGTTTTCCAGTATTTCGCTTGTCGTTTACATCCCTCTCCGCCCTCCCGCGCCACTGAGGCGGCCACACTCCCTCGCCATACTATCTTCTTCTAGGGTCGAGTTGCTCCCGTCGTAATATAGAAATTGCCGAGATCAAAGCCACGACGATTAGGTCTGCTCGCAAACACTGTCGTCAGACCGAATGGAGTCAGTTAGAGAGCCTCGCTACGCACGATTGAATTTCATATAGCCCTCCCATCTGACTCCCAAAGAAAACTCCATCCGACTCCAGTCTGAACTATCACTCCGTTCCAGTTGCTCATTTCATCTACGATAATTCAGTGCATATAATTTTAATTTGAACAGGTTACGTTGTGTTTGATGTGAGATACAGGGAGACTAGCCTCAGTATCTACTTTAATATAAGACTCATAAAGTTGGTTCCAAATAATAAACCTTATTAAATTATATAATCTGCTTTCAATCAGAACTTTCAAATATAATTAATGGCTTTATCTGACATGGGATATTTCCGAGTTGTAGCATGGAAAATCAGATACAGCTGTTTCAACATCAATAGATTCATAATTTTGTTGTTTCTGATGACTATAATGCTAAGTAGGAATAATACTTTGATTTAGCTGCATATAATACGGTATTCCTGTATATGATCGTTTTATATATGCACCCCCTCCCCCCAACCCACAAAAAACAATGTACCATACAACTGCCGAATTCATTATGCCAGCATTAGCGTTGATCAAAGATATTTATGACGGTGAAATCTGTATCCCTCTTTTCGTATGCATCATGAATGAAACATCGATGGCTGATTAACGAATCCTCGTCAGGTTCGTTCAAGAATATGAATATTTCCACGCTTCATTTAACATCAGAGATAGTGAAGCGTGACCGCGATAACAGTTGCTCAACAGAATAATGTGTAGCTAATAAACCCACCAAGCCACTCACTAGTACAGGACGCAGCCACCCCTACGATCTGACCCCAGCCAGTTGTCCCCACCCCCGCGGCTTACCCCATACATGAGGTGTCAGTTGGCAGGACCCGTTAAAAGAGCATCTACCCTCAGTGGCGTCGGATAATTGTCTAAATTGAGGAACCTGTCTGGGAGTTTTTGTTTGACCCAAGACAGAGCCCATCACAGGAGAAAGACACCAATTAGTGTGTAGCGAGAAATTGCGGGGAAACAGGTCTCCTTTGGGCATACGTACATCGAAAGGGAAAACAGTTGGAGTTATTTTAATTTGAGACCTTTATTCCGAATAATTCGTACAATTAAGCTTTTTGCATGTGACTTTATTAAAACATCCATGTCATTCTCTTTTTTTCAATTTTGCACTTAAAATGTTTTATTCAGTTTTGAATTAGACCTGGTTTCGTTCTAATTCGGAAGCTTTTCATGTCCGATTGACGGTCTTTCGATGAACTGAAGTGCATATGCATTGAAACCCCTGATAAATATAAGCCGTCCGCGTATCCGCCTACTAAATCTGGAAGTATAGAGTCGCGTTAAGTGTCCACGTGTTTAATACAAGTATATGTTTTATCAATAATGGATGTGTCTATATAGATAAAGGACAAGTGGGAAAGCCCGTTAAAGCACCCACCGAGCACACACCACTTGAGTCTCGAATTTAAATTCCGAACATAATGGCGATCGCCCGCGGTCAGAGATAGCCAGCGAGTCGGCGGCACGGCTCCCCCACTTAAGCCATGTCCCTTTTTAAATCCTGTCACCACCCCTCGATGTTCATTTGGGGGTTGTTGTGGGAGGGGACAGGCTCTCATTAGTTAATGATCTAATGTCTTGGAGACTTGACGTCTATACTCCAACGTAAACAGTTGTTGACGGGGAAGTTCATTAACGCTGCATGTGTCCGCTGTCCCTACCTTGGCGGAGCGAATTAAGCCAGGTTGGATTGTGTTGAGTTGAACACTTAAGATAATTAGGGGAGGGAGGATGTCAATGTGTGCTCAAGATTCCGCTGGCTGTGGACAATGGCTGAACGCAGGGCCAGTAAGCGAGCTCGTAACCTTATTGTGTTTGAGGGAGACATGCAGGGCTGGCTTATAGAAACTAGCCATGCTTCCGCCACTTCGTTGAGTTTGTACAAAGCCCGGCGTACGCTGACGAACAGAATTTGGCTTAGTGAAAGGAAGATGTTTTCAAATAGGGGAAGGCGACTAGAAAATGCCGATTTACCACCCAGATGCTGCCGTCGTTCGGTCTCCGGGGCTCGGAGTGGGGAGACAGTCTTTTTGTTGTCGCAAACAATGCGATAATTAGTGCCTGCTTGGATTAAATGTGTATCGAAAAAACAACAAATTTTAGCTCCAAAAACGGAAAGTTTAATTCAAGGCCGTTTCCTCTTTATATCTGAACAAATGTCAACGGTGGAGCGTCGGTTAGAAGTAAATCTTGTTTTGCGTTTCAAACCACACGTAACAACAAGCGTATAAATTGAATCAGAAATAACAAACGACGTTTAGCCGATGGATAAGTCCCTTTTTTCTCATTTTCTCCAAACAATTCCAAACCAAATTAAGAATCTCGTGCAATCCCGCGAGAGTTTGCGGTGGGCAGAATCTTTGGAATTTCCCCAATTCTTAGTGTGAAACCCTCAGCGGTAAATAGACCGTCAGAAACACAGCATTTAAATTGGTCGGCATATCTATGACACTTGTGTCTGCCAACAAATAGCTAGCGAGCGTCTCGCAGAAAATCTTTCATTTGACTCTATAATTGCAAGGTTAATTCGGAGGGCGGGACAACCTTATGGTAAAGATAATAGGATCGATATAACGCTAATAGCTCGGCTCTGGGAGAACCAAACTTGACAAGGAGCCAGAGCGAGTCCATCAGAAATCCCAGCAGCCGATGTTTACAGTGATTTCAGTCTCAGATACATTAACGTAATTTTCTCCTGAATATGCACATTTAAAAGAAGTTTAAATTTAAACGGATCAATGACATCGTTAATTTAAAATACATTTAATACCACCAAACACATTGTGTACAGAAATAAAAGCTAGTCATATATTCTTTAAATTAAAATTACATACTTTTTTTTAAATAAAGCATAAGCTGTTATGTATCACAGTTTAACTAATGTATGCAGCTACGAAGGAATTGTGGTTTTCTTGGGGATTGTAATCGTTTATGTTTTCACAAAGGGTGTGAGGGTGCGAGCAATCCCTCTAAGGGTATATATCATTTAGTGGGACCAACACGCTGGCGAAATCTACACCCTCGTACTTGTAAAATGTCTATTGATTTCAAACTGTTTATTCTTATCGAATTTGTCTTCAAGAGCAGTGTGATGTTAAATATTTAATGACATGAAGCCAACACAGAACGAATGCTTTTATTTTAAGATCGCTGAGTGGTCATGTCTTCGTATTCATCAGTCCAATATTACTATTTTATGTCACACCGAAGAACGCCGGTAAAGGTTAAAGTGTCATCCTCCCCATAACACTGAGGTCAATAGATAATTATTGCTGTGCTTTGTCCCAACAAAATCATAATTTCTAACTGATTTACTGCATGCGAATATTTTTTTGTGAACCAAGCAATTAATAATGTGCCAAATAAAGCTCATTTTTCAAACATGACCGACGATGACCCCTTTGTTTATTTATCAGCGAAATTAATATAAAAAACCCGGAAGTTACCAGGTGAGGAATCCGTATTCAAATAGGCCATTTGATGACTGTTCATTGAACCAAATTGGATACATTTGTATCGACTTCTGGACATTATTTCTGTATTCTTCACCCCCTCAAAAAGTAATCTGGTTTTATATAGGACTGTTATTTATGAGCTCCTGTGTGTGTTAGTACGAGTGCGGTCGGCCGCCGCTTCATGAGCAGATGTTGAACTGCAGGGGGTTCCCAAAAGGGGACATACCCCATTACCGCTCTATTCTAGGATGATAGCACCCTAACACTGGCCACGAGCCTATTATAGAAAACACGCCATTTGAAGACCTTTGACTTCATAAATATATTCTTCTTACAGGTAAACCGCCCACTAACAATGAAGAAAGACGGTATTCAGACGAGGAACAGAAAGATGTCGACAAAGAGTAAGAAGAACAAGAAAGGAATGGGCGGCATGAATGACTTCTTCAAGCCATTGGACAAGGGTCTTGGGTTCGGTGCCAACATGAATCCGGGCATGCATACCCAGATGCACCCGTACATGACCGGGGGGAGTTCACTGACCGGAGGGTTCATGTCTCACTCTGGACACCATCACACACAGCACGGTGGACTTGGCAGCCTCTCTTCTGGATTCGGCAACAACTTCCCGCCATCACTGCAGTCGACGTTCCCATCTTCATTTTCCTCAATGCCAAGTATGACATCGACTGGGCTCAACCTCTCGACGGCGTCCAACATGGTGGGGGCCGCGATGGCTTAGTGGTGATTGGACAATGCCATTATTTAACTCTATATGTTCCTGTACGTGTTCTGTAGAACAGGACGTGACGACCAGTGGAACAGCCTGAGATTATGTCAGTGCTACAGCAACGTCTAGTACGTCGTCCACTGCGTGCCCAACGTCTCCTCGTGCCGCAAAAGAGCTGAAAACCCACTTGAGACAACCATCCGTTGTCCCGGGCTTACCATTACAAGAACGATTCGTCAAAGAGGTACAGCGGGGTGCATTTCAAGCCAGCAAGTGCTCATTCGTGCTAATGTCTTCTTGGTCCAACAGAAGTGTTTGTATTACAACGGACTTGAGAAAGACACGTTGAACTTATCGTGGACAGTAACAATGTACTCGGGCCACGGTGGGGTCATGTTTCAGGGATATAAACACAGAGGCGCTCCCAGCGATGTGATTCGTAACCGATCGAGGCAAGGTGGGAGAACAGGGAAAGGGTATGCGTGAGTTCTAGGAGTCAAGCTCCGTCTACGGGTGGGGTCGACTCGCAACCTGCACTCAGTTCTACCGCCACAATCCTTGGTGACTCGAGCGCTCTCAACACTGCAGAGCGCCGCCGTATCGGGTGTATTTCAGCGCCGATAAGTCTATGAGAACACACACCGCGCTGCCTGTGAAAACTGAGCAGAGGAGTTGTATAGCAAGTTTAGCGGTCACTAAACTCATATACCACCAGGTCGGACATAAGACAATGATGGCTTCGGTTTGAGTATTGTATTAGCCACGAGGGAACACTGACGAAGTTCCAATGTGAATTACGGACTCGACATTTTAAACGCAGCATTAAAAGACGATCAGTTGTCGACGTCTTGTGCGGGTCTTTAATACAGCATAATATATCATGAATGGCCCAACGTTACGTGAAAGACATTTTGTTGATATTATATATATTCGTTACCTTCCAAAGGAGGGCGCTGTAATGTTGTTATAATTTATGCAACTGTATTATAGTATATTGTTTAAGAGAAGCATTTCTATGACTTGGCAGAGGTAACCTGCTTATGACGGAACACAATTATCTAGTCTTCACTCTTCAACGTACATATCCGTTACTTCAGCATCACTATGTTCATCTCCTTGCGTGTGTTGCCAAGACTATCGTCTAGGATAGACGACTGCATTTCTCAGCAGTGCTGGTGTAGAACTATATAAAGGTACTCTTCTACGATAAGGTGCAATTGGGTAAACTAACTCGTGTAAATTTGGAACGACCAGACGACAGCCAGCTAGCGCCACCTAGTGACAAAACGGGTCTCACACCACCTGACGATCGTCCAGCGCCATCTTGCTTCAAATTTGGTTTGCTAGTGTCAGCTGACCTAGCGCCACCTAGCGACGAATTTGAACCGCTAGCGCCACCTAGCGGCATGTCTGTCTGCTAGCGTGAACCATCGTGACCACGTAGAGAGAGGGATCATTCCACGATTCTCTACCGTACTGTTTGCAGTTGTTTTTTTCTCCATATATGAATCTCACATTTTTTGTGTATGGGCTAACTATACAACGTTTATTTGTACATACTCGTCTGCTCAATACAGTGTAAACACCACTTCTAATTCATCAGAACTAAAAAAGTGAAACGAAGTCCATCTTTTGTCTTTTTTCGTAGTTTATACTGGCGGAAGAACTCGCCAAAGGTCAAGGACATGTCACGTGCATGTCGCAGCGGTATCGAATTTTTCTGCATCATTTCGGGACACTTCGGTTACCTAATCGAGCGAAATGGAACAATCTGTGTTTGTTGCAGAGGTATTTTCCAGTTAATCGATCATCAGATGCAGAATGTGACAAGCAGCAGTCTCACTTGACTGTATGTATGATCAATGCCGCCAATATGGTACTTAGTCATCAATGGAAGATTCGACAAGTGCAAATCCTGTTTCTAAAAGTAGATATTTTGATCCAAGGCCACTGACTGATTCTAGAACTGGAGACAGAGTTATATGGTTTGTGGGTACAAAAAATTCCAATATGGCTGAAATAATTCCGACACATGTGTTTGTCTCACACGATTACCGAACATTTTCGTTGTCTGTTACAGAATAAGGATTTTCTGTTTGGTAAATTAGAAACAATTATCTACTCCGGAAATCACAAGGAGAACTGATTGAAGTGATTTCGCATACTGAACCAATCGTACCTAATCACAACGGTGTGCTTCCAACACCAGCACATGCATTAACAAATACACTGTGTACCCAGTACACACTATTTCATACATGATAAAATCAAATGTATAGCATAATGTTGAACTGGGGCTCTCAATCAAAAACTGATACTCTTCCGGGTAAACTGACACAATTCATGACAGTCTGATGGTACAATTTATGAATTTTAATCTATTCAGGAAAAACTTAACTGGATACTGTTTTGGAATTTATGCATTGATTAAAATAATAAACAAAAGCAACTATTTCGTTATTGCTTTGACATATTCTAAAATTACCAGCCGCCAATTTCTGCTGACAAAGCTGTTTTTTAACAATCCAGGATCTTAATGTGGTGGAAGTACGTTATTGGATACGTAAGGAAGTCATTTAGGGTAAATTATACGTAACAACCGCGTAACCAATGGAGATATTGACCGAAAAATCACCAATTGTCGATTGTAGTCAGGGAAACGTCTCTCCGTTTTCGAAAAAAACATTATTTCCAAACTCGATCTACCACACGGAAAAGTTACAGAAATAAATTGCTCATTTTAGAATTTTTGTCAAGGGTGTTCTATTTAGTGTACAAAGTTTACTTCACATCTATACTGTACAAATACCAAATGGAGTTATAGTTCAAACCTAATGTTGATAAATTAATGTAGAAGTAGCATGCATGCGTTACGGTGTTAACTCATACAGTCAAACACTATCATGGAGTTAAGTGCATTCTTGACATTTTTTAGACCTAACGCGCTTAAAAATGCATTGGAAAAGCCGTTTGAAGCCTATTTTAAAATATCCACGTATGAATGCACTCTTCTATTACCTTCAAGATATTATGAATATTTCATTTGCGGTCGTTTGATTAGTACTTTGTACATATCATTTGAAAATATTTATAGTTAAATTCTAGCAATATGAGGGAATAAGGAAACCTTGACAGCAACATAAAAATATATTTACTGTTCTTGAAACTCAGTTTACAATGTTGGTTTCAATTTTGATCGTGATAATATTCGTACAAGCGTAAGATATTTTAGATAAAACATATTAATTTCGAAATAAATTAGAAAAGGGGATTACAATTACACCTTTTACACCCGTCTGGGATGTTTGGGTAGCAAAGGATTTTTTAAAGACTGTTTCATTTTGTGTGTTACAATTTATTGAAAGTTTTGTGAAATACGCCCATATGTAAACGTGTGCCCACACATATTTTGATGATGTTACGAAATACGCGTTTTTAACGTTAAACGGTTTGCCAGGGTAATGACATGATGGTGTCTCGGAGAAGCCACACAGACGGATGTGGTTAACATTTTATTATTTATTAAATTTTAACTTTTTTTACTTTATTTAATAATTTATTATTGCTTATTAAATTAAATTATGTTTGTAACATGAACTGAAAAATATTTTCGCATATACGTTCTTGATGTAATATCATCATTACGATAAGATAACCCTTTGTTTGGAAACATTTCTATTTGTCCGCAAAATTCGGTTTAATCTTATCAGAATCTATGATCATATTAACATTTAATGCCACTTTCTTGTTTCAAATTTTATTAGCCTTCAAGCATACAGTTTTGCGAAAACATAAGGATACAATTTCGTCGGTTTTGTAAGTGTAATATTCGAGTCGGTGGTAATAATTTATAGTAGAACATAATGTAGTATGTGATTGTGAGGAAGGTCGTTTATTTGAACTATTCACGCGAAATGTAACTAATATACTTGTATATTTGCTATATGAAATTATACTTGATACGATATTTTTAAAAAATGAATTAACAAATTGAATTAGAAGCATTCCATGTTAAAATAACACAACAACTGTTCTAATGGAGCTACTATACGCTAAATGTTTTTTATTTTTTATTTGATACCCAACGCTTTTGCCGTTGAGGAAATGAACACTTAATTCCGTTATACTTACATATAATGTACAGTAACTGTTTTCCAATTATAAATCGTAAGTGAAGGAAGTATTGTCTTCGACATGGCGAGAGACGGAGAGATATATCAAACGATAAGGTCTCTCTGTGTACAAGCGCAATCAAGCTGAACTACGAGAAATATATTTTTTAACGAAACTGGCAGTTTGGATGCCAGTTGTTTATATTTTTTAGATACATGACTCACAGGTTTCCATTTTGTATATGATGATAAGATATCCAAACAAACTTTTATTAATTCTATTATATTTTATTTAGTCTTGCCATTCATAATGTTGATTTAAGATTTTTAGAAAATAATATTGTTTTCCGGATGTAATCGTAAAGATCTTGAAATAGAAGGTTTATATCTAATCTGTCTGCAGGAACACAAGTAACACAGACACAGACACAGAGACAGGTAGACACAGACACGGGTAGACACAGACACAGGTAAACGCAGACACACACACACACACACACACACACACACATGCATGCGCTCTCACATAGATCTCAAATTATCTGTCTTGAAATCTTAAGGGCAAATTAGGGTATCTCGCACGTAACTGCTGCTTACCTACATGAGTGTCTTGATTTCATATTTTCCAACAGAAAATAAAAAGTACGGGGTGAAATTCATCTAAAAGGAAAAAAATCTTCGTCTCTCATTTCGCCCACTAATGTAAGATCTTAAATGCAAGATTTCTCAAGCGGTTAGTTGTGATACAATGTGCACCCTTCTTAACAACCCACCGAGACTGCAGAAATAATTATTACTTAGAAAATGCGTTTTGTAGGGTTTCTCTGAATTTTCAAATCCAACAGTCTTTGACTGACTGAGCAGACGCAAGCAAGGCGCCAAGGTTTAAATTAGTCGACTTCAGTCTGAAATTTTGGAAACTCTTCGAAGCATGTGTTGAAACAGGGCTTTATGCGTGTGTTATAAACAGCGTGTATTATACTTTCGTCAATACGGCCCACATCAATCAAGCTTTTGTGTCCCTCAGCAAGAGGTGCACCCGTCACGCCCCCTTCCCCCAGTCTGCCCAACAGAGTCGGTTCCTGGTGAAAAGCGCATCGACCAAGACCTATTCTGGTCTGAATGGAAGCACAATAGCCTCCACGGCGATGTTCAGTAAATGTCCCTGGTATCAGAGGGAGACTGGTTCGATGGGAGCAGGGGCAGTGTTGTAATTAGAGGGGGTGGTTGAAATAAACAACCAGCTTGGCAAGGGAGGGGCAAGCATATGCTAATTAAACGGGGAGGGGGGAGGGGACGAGTTGGAGTTAATTTAGAGAATGTTGCTTCTAACGTAAGAATAACGAAATATTAAGAAACTGTGTGATGAGGCGGAGATTTGGAACTTGGAGATGTTGGATTTTCTCAGAAAACCGCAGAGAATATATGTGTCTCGTGAAGCTTTGTCTGACAATGCTGAATAATGAAAAATTAGAGAAACACAGGGAAAAGATCCAGTGTTCTAAACTAACCGAGTATAACATAGATTATGGTATGAGATGTTAGGACGGGGACAGCTGTGGTGATACACACATCATGCGCGCCAGTTCCATACATGTTTGTACATACAGAGCGTGATGCAAACTGGGATTGCTTTTCAGTTGTCTTCAAATGTTTTGATCATCAATTTCATGCAATGACCGTCGTGTTTGAAAGAATGATATCAATGCATATGTACAATTATTGCCTATTTGGACTACAGAACACAACAAAACAACAATTACTACTACTACTACTACTACTACGACTACGACTACTACTACTACTAACTACTACTACTACTACTACTACTACTACTACTACTACTACTACTACTACTACCACTACTACTACTACCACTACTACTACTACTACTACTACCACTACTACTACTACTACTACCACTACTACTACTACTACTACTACTGCTACTACCACCACTACTACTACTACTACTACTACTACTACTACTACTACTACTACTACTACTACTCTACTACTACTACTACTCCTACTCCTACTACTCCTACTACTACTACTACTACTACTACTACTACCACTACTACTACTACCACATCACTACTACTCCTACGACGACGACTACTACTACTACTACTACAGACGACTAATGGTAGCATTGATGGTGAATATGATGATGGTTATGGTGATGATGATGATGTCGATGATGATGATGATGATGATGATGATGATGATAACTGAAACAAAGAGCACTTTTAAAGCGCAATACAATACCCCAACACTAAAGAGCGACATGCATTAAACGCGTAGTGCAATACCCCCTTGTCAGCGGATCCGTGTGCATTTCTATTGCTCTTTCGGCTCTCTGGGGAGTATACAAATTACATATTAACCATCAGTAAACATGTTAACAAGCATTCGTAAGCGATGTTCAAGGAGCGTACATTCATCGGGAACTAAAAGCATGTATTGAAACGAGTACTGGGGTGTTCTCTCTCAAACACTCTCAAGCCG